AAGCCACACGGATACTGTAGGTCGCTTCATATCTGTTGGCCGCACCTTTCTGGACCAAAAAGCCACCATCAGCCATTACCTTGTGTTTTTTCATGTTGCCGTCAAAGCATCTAAGGTATTGTCAACACAACACAAAATCCCAGCTTCTACTAAGACCATGGAAAGCGTCGACCACACCCACTGAAATCTTAAGACAGCGCAAACCGTTAGAATGACCAAGAGATCCTGCAGTCCAAGGCGTGGGCGACGTCAGCTTGTCTGCCAACTTCAGCAGCCGCGTGAGACACGTTCTCTGGAAGGCAGACCTTCGAGCCAGTCAATGAAGAACGCCGCATGAAACTAGTAACTAGTATATCTCGTGTCGCAAGTTTCCGGCATTTCCGCTCCCGTCAGCTCCCCACAGCTCGACAAAGTTGTCACCTGGGAACATGCTGGAGCTTCTCAAGGCCCCTTCATCGCTGCCGCGCAGCAGCTGGGTGCCAAACGCTTCACAAGGTCCTGCGAGGTTGATAGATCAGGGAGTTCGACATAATCACATGCAAGCCTGGAGCTCCATGCCCTAAAAAATGTTGAAGAACACTTCCAGGGCGCTAAAAGGCTGCTCCCTCCTACAAGGGGGGTCTTGTGAGGGAATAGGCTGATGCGACTGGAAGCACGGCGGGCCCTCACGCGTCGCCAAGAATGAGGACATGCACACATCAAACCATGCTTGTTGTTTTCGTCGCTTCCTGCTCTCTCGCATGTGGCTTTGCCATGCGGGTGCGCGACGTTCCCGCAGCCATCTCTGGAATCGACAGTTTGGCCGTTCCTCCGCATCCTTGGAGACCCGTCTTCTGGTTCTCGCTCATAGAATGTGGCAGAAGACTAACGGGCCAAAAGCCAGAGCCTTCCTGGACGCAGGGGCTTCACAAGTCTTCTGCATTCGCGAGCTCCTCTCTAAGCAGCTGCTGAAGAGTGGCATCACTCGCTTCACCCAACACCCAGAACTCAGTGGCAACGGCCCTTTGCTCTATGCGATCCACGGCAATGCTGCACCACCCCTGTTCCGCCGCCAGGGCTCCAATCAGCAATCGAAGAAGTGGCCATTGGTCAGGCTTCCTGGTCGAGCGCAAGTGCGCCAGGGTAACTGCAAGCACGGAGCCGCTTACCAGTTGACCATTACGAAACAAGGCTGTCAAGTCTTGGCCAGGGCTTGACCTATGTGAAGACGTCGATGAGGCGCTGTCAAGTTCCTCCAGCTCCTGTGATGGTTTCCAGCTTCCGTATAGGCATTCTGTGAAATCGCAGTACACACAAGCGAAAGGACCGTAACTAGTGCCACGTGCTTTCCTGGAGTTTTGCGTGATAAATTCATGCAGGCTCAAGCCCTGCAATACCGTTGCCTTGTTGGAAAAGCCACTGCCAAAGGGCCCGTCGCTGTCGTTTGGCACGATGATACGGCTCGAGCGAAAGCCAGCTCCATGAAGCGCCGTGCTTGAGGCCAATGAGGCAGCATCCAACACCAGGGCCCAAGGATCCTTCTTTGAGGCTGCCAGGGGCTTGGCAAGTTCAACCAGCCGGGCATTTGCAGCCTTTTTTACAGGAGAGCGAGCCTTGTCAGACCATCGGAAGGTCTCTATGCGAGTTGCAAGTGCACGTGCCATGAGCTGTGACGGGGAAAGGGCATGGTGCTTCATGCCCACCAGCAGCATAAACGGCTGAGATGGGCAATGCAAAAAAGAGCACATGCAACACATACCATCCACCTGCGCTTGTCCCCTCCCCCGTCCTCAGGGAACCAAGTGCAGCTGAGCGCGTTGGTGCCCTCGCGCAGGCTGAAGCCAAAGCCGCGTGCAGAACATTGGGCCTCGGCACCTGCATTGGAAGACAATATTTTGAAACACATGCACAGGATGGCAGACATCATCCCAGCCCACACACAGTCGTAGATTAGACCAAGGCCCCCAGCCTAGCTTAAAGAAGTACTTGGACCAAGCACCAGGAGCTCCGCAAACATCTACGAAGACGAGCTGCCCCTGTCGTGATATGGAACTCCACATGTCAGAGACTGCCAGCATTTGCAGCTACTTATATACTCCAGCCTTCTCAGTGCAGCGGCTGAGCAATGCCTCATAGAACAGGAACTCTGTCGTGTTGACCTATGGCCTGTGGATTGCGGCAGCTTGCAGGCCTGCAGCTTCCCGACAGCCATGACGATCTCCTGTACTTGCCCCACTTGACCATCCGCCCCTCGTAATTCTTTCTCGGGTCTGGTCATCACTGCCATCTGAAAGCAGATGTGTCTAGCACCTCGATCTTGTCGCCAGACCTATTGCCCAAGGGCTGGCGGTCAGAACCTCGATGCCCCGCCTGGAACTGGCAGTGGTGCTTTTGAAACGCAGTGAGTTGCGTCCATTCTGCTCAGATGCCTCTGCATAGATTTCATCACGGGCCTGCCAGTATGCCTGGCCAGGCCATGTCGAACATCCAAATTGCCCATGCAGTGTATGTGGTTCCAACATATTCCCTGAGAAGCCTCTTGATTGCCACCGTCAAACATGGCATCCATTCGCGACTTCTGCTTCCAAAGCCTCGATTGTCTACCCATGCTGGCCAACGCTACAGCAGAGCAGTGAGTTCTGAAAAAGTCATCGCAGCATGCATCTTGCTTCAGCGCAGAAATGCCCAAGCCATCGGCAGCTCCACCTCCTCGCGCGGGCAGTATCCAGCTCCAGACCTGCAAGAACGGTTTCTGAACTTGCATTCAACGACATCATGATGCTACAGAGGACAAGCCATGGCTCGATGCAGCAAGCCACATACGCTGAGGATCCTCGAGCACTTGTTGCTCCAGGACATGGTCCTGTGTTTCCGGTACCCCTCTCGAGCTCTTCAGTTCTTCGCGCTTCATCTTTGGCCTTGTCTACATCTTCCGAACCACCAGAAGGACCGGTATGAATTGCAGCCAGGCTAAACACCTCAGGACAAGCTCAATCGTTCCAAAGCACATGGTCCGCGCTGTGGGACTGCAAGGGGCAGGTATATTGCGCAAGGATAGAGGCTAAGTCTTGCAAGTTGCGGGCTGCGCGACCCCACGAAGCTTGCTTGGGCCACTGCCAAAGTTGACTCTGTTGGCCTTGTCTGCGCAGCAGCCTTCGTAGTTGGACGCATCAACTACTGTATGTACTATGTTCAAAGCGACAAGGCTCATGAAACTTAAAATTGACAATGGCTTGCAGGCTTGGAGAATATTGCTTACGACATGTCGTACATAAATCCAGGCCCCAGCTGTCATCTGCTGGCCTCCCTCCCGGCCGCTGCCATTCCAGCTAATGAATCATCCAAGACCATGGCGAGCTCTTCTAGCCATGCTCCGGACAAGTAGAACTAGCTACCGTGCAATGCTGAATGTGTGCACATGATTTTATCTCAGCCCTTGGCCCTGGCCTACACTGTTTGCAGGCCTGTGGCGACGGCATCACAACACCATGCCCGCAGCCATGCTGACTGATCGTATTGCTACAAAATCTACAAATGCAACACGCGTAGGCACTCCAGCTGCAGGACAGTTGAAGTGGTGGCCATTTTCATCGGCAGTTCAGAGCATGCAGGTGTGATATCGAACTTACCGTGTCTCTCAATCTTCAGGGTTGTCAAGCTCCAAACCTGAAGAAACGGCCGCATCCGCAGGGGCATCCACGAGCTCTTCAGGCTCGTCAGGCGCACCCTCCTCTTGAGACAGCGCTGGACCTTCCATTGCGTCTGTGGGTACTGCGGCATCTGCTGTAGGCTCTCCCGTATCCTCCTCTGGGAGCTCTGGCGCGTCAATATCCTCATCATGCATTTCTGCGGCGTCCTCCTCCTGAGCTGCGCTCACAGAGTCGCCAGCACCCACAATGTCCGAGACTGGCTCCATCAATTCGTGCTCAGTGTCATGCTCTTGTCTGTCTTCCTTTGCCGCTGTGACTGGCTTTGTTTCCTCGCTCGTGCGGGCGCTGCTAGCGTTGAGCGATGTCTGTGCCTTCTCTGTCATGACCAGGCTGGAGCCGAGGGTCAAGGTGGACAGGACCAGCAGAACGCGCAACATTGCAGGACTAGGCAATGGCCGTACTTCGTTGGGTTCTGAAGAGGCAGCTTTGGCTTTGTTGCAACGCCTGAGCCGGCCATGGAAACAAAGACGGCAAGTTCAAAAGTTCTTCCACCTTCTGCATGGGGCGGTCTCCGGAGCTTAGTTAAGCTGTAGATCAAAGCTGGCTGTACTCCGGATGCATGACTTCAGGCAATGTCTTGGCAACTTGGCAAGAATGGTGAAGCTTTAGTCGCTTCTCCCTGCTTCATGTGCCCGTCTAAAAGCCCAAGGGTCCCCCATGTACTGGCATCTCTTGCCGTCCTTCTGCTCATTTGTTTACATTACATCTTGCTTTCCTCAAAAACACACGCACAAGCAAGCAAATATATTCCCTTTATGTTCTTTTGTGTAGGGCCCTAGTCTGTGATTCCATGCTGCGGGGAAAAGTCATGCTCATTTCGACCATGTGGGCATGAGGTTGCATGTGCTTGCACTATGGCGGCGTGAGATAACTTCCCTTCGAGAAGATCATGGAAATCGCCGCCTCGAATTGGGGGCAGAGTGCTTCGCACGTCTGGCCGAAGAACGCAAGATGTCAGGACCTGGAAACAGCACGCGGCATACGTCTTTCAGAGCACGTCAGCATTTCACAAACCATTCTTGCTTAGCAAGTGCATGTTATGCACAACGGCCCGTCATCTTGTGCGTTGCATGGCCATTGCACAACCTCGGCCAACGCCAAGCTGGCAATTCTGAAGTTGACAGGCGAATTCTGAAAGCATTGTTGATACCGCGCTTTCCATGACAACCCGCTACAGGGCACATCATTGGGAAGAGCAGCACCACTGCACAACATTGGGGTAGAGCGACTCAGCTCAACAATCATGGCAAGAATTTCAAAGGGTCTAGCAACCCACGTTCTGTGGGATGCAGCCTCATGCTGATGCTGTCCTCACTGCGCAGGTGGCTCCGGTGACCTACCAGCCGCACGTTTTTGCCTGTAATCCCACTCAGCAGATGTCGGTTGCAGGCGAGCATCTTTGCACAAGGCGTGCGGACAACCGAGAGGGCAGGAAGAGATAAGCTTTTGCCAAGGCCTGACTGAATTTTGCACGCACACTCTGACAGAGACAAGAATGCAACAGCTGGCAGTCGGCCTCCGTTGCAAGCTTCAGTGGCGGGTTGTGGCAGCTTGGGAAGGGCCAGGTGTCTGACATGCTCAAGGGATCCTCAAGCAGTTCAGGGGAACAGTTAGCAAACACCATATTGCAAATCACTGCATGGGAGGTAAGGAACAAATGCCTGCAGAGGTCACTGTAATACTGCAAGGCATGATGGCAGCTCCTCGTATCTTGTGGAGATTTATGGAGCTTCGGTGCACTTGGGGCAGGCCTCGGCCGTTGGGATCCGATAGCTGAAGATGTGCACTGCTACAGTGTTTTCGGCCTTGGTCTGCCCTGGCTGGTGGCGGCGGCAATGAGACATCCGCCCTTGCTTGGGTGAGAAAAAAACCTTCCTCAACTTCTTTAACTTTTTCTAGCAAATGCTGGGCACGGCACGGCCCATAGATCTGACGGAGGCACCGACCGGCAGAGGTGCCTATGCCTGGCCAGCCCATCAGCTTGTTCGACCCTCGCTGGCTCTGACCATCTGAGATTAAAGCCAAACTTCTTCCAAAGCTCACCATTATCCACGTCCTCAGCACACGGCACCACTGCATGATGCAGCAGCTTGGGCACGTGGCGATAAAGTGGTTGAAATCTCAGCTGAAAAGGTGGAATATGGTGGAATGATGTGGAATGGTAGCACCTCTCATAGCCCTACAGCTGCCGCGGCTGCCGCGCTTCCGACCGGTAAAGGTGTGGGCACATGGGCCCAGGCGCGCTTCCAACCGTCCTTGTCCTCCAGGATTGGCTTCATCTGCTTGGCAACCCCTTGGGAAGCTACGTGAGCTACGTGCGTGCATTTATGCAGACATCCACGTGTGTGGGTGTCTCAACTTCTGCAAAGGCTCTCGAAGCCCGCTGCTTGCGGGTCGGACCTGGCACACCCCAAACATGCTACGAGTACCATTTGCTGCTACCGTGATGTTTGAAAGAAAGGCTATGGCTGACCTTTCTGCGCCGTCTCAGCCACTGCCCCTTTGAGTTGTGCTTGCGGTCCGCCAGTCAGCAAGGCCACGGTGTGTAAATCACCCACCTGCAGTCAGCTTCATCTTGCTCAGCAAATCGAGCGGCGAGAAGTTTCTTTTCAAGGCATGCTTGCAAAGACTTTTCTCCAAAACCTCTACCATGCAGGGGAAGCAGTCAGGCTGAGCTTGGCCACTGCAACCTGAGCAGCAGCAAAGGGCAGCGGCATCTGTTTTAGTGCATCATAGTCGAATCATAGTCATAGTGCAGCGTGAGCATGTGCTACCTGCTACCCTGGCAAGCCGCAGCGCCCGGAGCTCGCTCATGCATGCAAGCCTGATTGAGAGATCGTCCCTTCACGCGCTTTGCTGGAGTTTTGATCAAGTCCAGAGCAGCTGTTCCCCTTTGGGAAGGGGCTTGCAACTCCGATGAAGCTGCTGCTGCTGCTGCTGCTCGAGAGGAAGGAAACAGTGAGCGTCTCTTGCAGCGCCTTCGTGTTCCTGCGCTCCGCCAAGATTTCCAGCGCCACGGCAAACTCAAAGAAATCCTGCTAGGTTGCATCTCTGAAGAGCGCTTGAGACTTCAGACTTGCAACACTTGGCGTTTGCAAACGGGCCCGTCTTGAACTACGTGTCGTTTCACGAGCCTCAAAAAAGGCTGGACACCCTAATGTGTGGAAGCCGAGCTGCGATAGTTCGACGCCCGAGCGGCTTCACCCGGTGGTCGTTGAAAACTAGCTCCTGAGGAGGCTATGATGAGACAACGGGTGTTCGCGCGGCATGAAGCCGTCAGAGAGAGGCAGCGCCCCTCAACACTGCTGTAACAAGCTCGGGCCAATAGAACAAATTTGATCAGAAATCCAACCATGAAAAAGCAACCGGGTGCCAAGTGTCCGCCACTGCAGGAGGCAGCGTGGAATCAACAAATTTGCAATTTTTGCAAAACCTTGGCAACGGAAGCGCTTTGTGCACATAGCTTTTCAAACAATGCCAACCGACGCCTGGAAAGTTGAATATGCTAACTGCTAACGGCTGCTATCACCATTCCAGGGGTCAGACTTCACAAAGTCCTTCATCTCCATCTCCTTAGCTGCCACAGCTTCATGCGAACAGCTTTCCGCGTCCCTTCGTGCTCTCTCTAAGCCATTTTCCTTGTAGCTTCGATCACTTGCGACACAGCGACGAACAAGTGCGGAGGATTGTGGAGGTTGGTACAGCCAGCTAGGAGGGCAGGAAGAATTCTGAATTTAAGAGTTCAGGCAGCTACGAAGCAGGGGATGGAAGAACTCTAAATTCAAGAGTTCAGCCAGCTACATGCAGCTACGAAGCAGGGGATGCTCTTTATGCTGGGGTTTCAGACCTATGTCGTTCTCGACAGCAAAACTTTTCCGCTGCTAGAGTCTGCTAGAGACTTTTGCAGATGTCATTGCAAGGGCGCCAGCAACGCATCCGGTGGTGCTCTGAGGGCGGTAGCTGTGTTGGGGCAGCGAGTGTATCGGACCATTCAGAGGGGAGCAAGCATCAACTAACACCAGGCTCGTGCTCTGAGATGCCTTCCCCATCCCTGGCTCTTGAATGTGTCTTCCTACATGCGCAGAGCCCACGAAGTCACAGCAAGCACGCAGTCAATACTTGAGCAGACCAAAAACCAGCCGGCTCTTTCCAGTCAGAGGTGCAGTTTTGCCAGGGCCACAGAAGACGTAGAACACGGCATCCAAGCCATCGCTATCGATCTCAAAGGATGTTCGGCGACAGCGGCCATGCATCTTGTCACCAACACTGCTTCCACTAATGCTGGCCAAGACACCGGGGCCAGAATAGTTTTTCCTTTCAGGACCTCCTTAGAAGATGACCCTTTCCGCATCCACGTCGCAAACTCCTGCGCTTTCGGGAAGGTTGTTGGCCAAACATGTAGTTAGGAGTGGTATATCATGCTCTCCTGTCTTCGATCATGCTCAGATAATCTACAGCTTTCATCTGAAATTGAGCAAGCAGCAGGTGATCTTCGTCCTTATAAGAAATCACACCATCCTTAGTCCCACACCCTTATGTACATCCAGCCAACCCAACGCTCATCACCTGCCTAATGCTGCGGCCCAGCATCATTGCTGGTGTCGAGGTCCGCACAGATTTTATTCACCTCCTCCTGTAAGGGCATGCACCAAGACCCTGAAGTGTCTTTTCTGTGTTCCTTCCTCTCCTTCAGCTATGGACTCGGAGTAAAGGGAAAGGGAAAGGCTCCATGGCAGCGTACCACGAGCAATCTGAGTATCATCTGCTGTTGAATTTAATCACAGGCACGCTGCACAAGCATTAGCCGGTTCGCAAACAGTCCTGATTGAAGAGGAACATTTTGCCCATGGCATTCCGCAGCTCAGATATGTCCAAAAATCCATCTCCGCTAACGTCATACCTTTTATGCCAAGATGAGGAGTGTCTGTGTCAAACCTGTTGTACACGTTAAAACTGAAATTGCCAACGATCACCAGTGAGTCAAGCCACATGGTGAAGGCATCTCTGACCCTCTTTTCTCGGACTGGACCTGTTTGCACATGCCACTCTGCAACGCCGAAAAAACGGAAAGGATGAACAATCTGCCGTTAGGCCATGGACCTGTCACCTGCTTGAGCTTGCTGGCTAACTTTCCTCATCTTCACGCGAGAGTGTATACGTGACGCGGCGGCTAACGCATGGCACCCAAACAACGATGTGCACATCAAACTGACCAGGTGTGCAGCCTAAAACGTGACGCAAAGCAATCCACTTTGCAATCTTGGCCCAGGCTCGGGCCAGCGACCCGCCTTTGCCGAGCCAGACAAGGAATTCTTTGTAGGACACCTTGGAGACACTGCTCTGCGCATTGAACAAACACGTCGCAACGGTTCAGCTTTTCCATGCCCGGACCCGTCCATCTCCGCTGGTGTCTAGCTCTTCAAGGACTCTCCTGGCAGTTCGTCGACAGGCAAGGTGTTCTGGTCACTACTGGTCTGCTTGAATTGCATGGCCGGACGCTTCCACTTGCTTTCTGGTCTCTGGATTTCTGCCGTGGTAATCTCCGAGTCAAGGACTCGCAGCACCTGCATAGCAGATCACACGGCGGAAGAGTTCAGGTTGCCTCTCAGAACTGAACATGCTCCCAGCGCAAGGTCTGTATCTCCAGGATGGAGTTTCGCAATAGCGCGAATGAAAGAAGATGCTCTCTACCCTAGGAAGGATATTCCGTTCTTTTGTTTTAGGGTGGCGGGCGGTTGGAAACGAGCAAGAGACTCCTTGCCTTACTGCCTGGAGCCCTTGCGTTGAGTCCGCGAGTTGTGGAGGGAGACTCAGCGCGTGCTGGCCGCATGCACCGGCCGATGCGAAAGAAAGCAGGGCATCAGCAAGATCACTGCTCGTGGGCCCCCAGTGTTGATCATCTACGATAACGCGCACCAAAGACCACCAGCCATCTAGCCTACGTCTGAGTGCCTCCTTGTGAACACAACACCGTGCAAACTGGGTACCTTCATCAGCTCGTGCCGCTCCAGGAACGCGCTTCCGTCCAGGTCATATCGATCGAACATCCTGAGATGCGACGGCCACGCAGAACTTCCACACCAGTCGAGCGGCTTAAATGAACCTATCCCATCTGAGAAATCAACATCACAACTCTTCAGGCTGGGTGTCTCCATGACCCTTGCGCCCAAGGAGTCGCCGGTGGCTTCAACAATCGCACGAAGTACAACACGCTGAGCCTGTCTCTGACTCACCTTGCTAACCAGCCTCAGCAGACGGCATCGCAGCAAACAATCTCCGATGTCCTCTATCCGGCCAGGTAGCCAGTCCACAAACTCTGGAGTGGTGAACTTCCCGTCTGCGCCCTCGCCATCTATCTCCTTCAGCATCTTGTCCAAATTCTTATAACCTCAGAACTTTGCAAGCACACTCCAGCTCCAGGTTGTGTCTCATGGGACTTGCATCCTTGGCAGGCATGCCGCTAGTGTTTGGAACAAGTTCGTTCAGCATTCTTTGCATCTCTGGCCTCGGCAGATGAGATCGCCACAAAATGCATGCAGTTAGCTAGAAAGCATTCTGTGCTCAAGGGACCTTGTCAGAAAGGTACGCCTCTCATCTGAGCGATAACGGTCAAAGACCTGGAGGTAGCTTTCGTGACCAAGTCTGTGCATTTGTTGTACCTGCCTGCTTCACTCTGCCAGTCAAGTCCACCAAATCTGTTGCGCCCTCCAGCTCTGCCACCATGCGGCCATGTGCCTCGAAAGCAGCTTCCTATGTGACCACATGCACATGATGTCCCAAGCAAAGCCAAGTTCGCACACTTGCTGGGTTGCTAGCAGCCCGAAGGAGCTCCCGCCGGACGCGCTACCAGTGTCATACGACAGCTTAGACAACTCTTTGCTTTTCTGGTGCAGTCTCAGCATGGTACAGAGCATGCTGGGCATTGAGAGGATGTCTTTGTCTCCTGCCTGTCAAGCCTAACTGCTATCTGCAAACCCGACAAGTAGCACGCAAAAAGGCGGCTGCCTCGCGCCAAGTGCAAACTCACTCTTGTCAGGAGGGCACTCTTTTTTCAGAAAGCCGCTGCATGAACCAGAAGCTTATGCCGCTGGCCGTTCGAACTGCGTCAGGCCCTTGGCCTGTGCAATAAGTTCATGAAGACAGACGCTCCAAGAGCAATACTTACAGAAGAGGACAGTGCCTCTGAGTTTGCAATCCAACACTCAGAATGCAATTCAGCAAGCACACTTCTCGACATGGTTTGTAGGGGCTCACAGCCGTGTCCTCGTTAGCGTAGTAGAAAACGCCAGGCTTCGACCTCGACTCTTTTTTGACCTCGACAGCTGCCAAAGCAGCAGACGCAATGGGACACTTGTTACTGATACTTTGCTGATGTCACTGTTACTGGCTATAGCAGCAAGAGAAGGTGACAATGTCCTTCAACAAACCTTGGCATGCCACCCACCCTGGTGGCAGTGGCCCACTCTCCTCAGCCGACTCCTGTGCTGGAAGCTGGCAGAAATTGTCTGTCGAACCCTAGAGCACAAGTGCAAACACCCACCTTGCTAGGCCGTGGGCTGCGGGAGCGTTCCCGCATGAGCACCTGCTCCTCTTATTCGCAAGCTTCAACCCACCAGAATGGCTGCGTGTCAAGAGCTCAGCTTCGTCCTTTGCAGGGGCGGCAGATTGGCCTGGCTGACGCAGCATTGATGCCCGGACTTAAAGGAAAGACCGTCAGAACCAGCCAGTAGATCCGAAGAGATCACAGTCATCGGACGGCTGCTTCTCCGAGGTTCGACCTCAGGCATACATGCGTGGCCTCCAAACTGCATCAAGGAATGGAACCCCTGCAGTATACCCAGCCGACCAAAGAGCTGGCTGAGGAACCAGCCATGCTCGGTCAGAAAAGTCAGGATGGGAATGCGCACCGGATGCACCAAGGAACCTGCGACTGGAACAGCAAGCTGAGGCAACATGCTCTCAAACAGCTGGAAGCGGCTGGACCAGAAGTCGAACCACGGAGGCCTTCGAAGTAGCCGTGGATCAGCAGCTTGCCATCCAAGACCTATACCAGAAAGGAGCGACCACCCGCGACTGCAGAAGGCAACGAGCGGTGCTGGCGGAACCAGGCCAACTCAAAGTGTGCCTGCACTGCCACTTTCATGCCATCCTGTGACCGGCGCGAGTCCCAGTCAAGCAGCTAGGCTCGTGCGAAAGCTAAAAGCTTGATAGCTTGATACTGACTCGAGCCTCGCCCAGACGGTAACGACCTCAGACATCATCTGTCATGAGCAGAGTTTATATCACAGTCAGAAAACGCGACAACCCATGTGGAAGCTCTCCTTTGACTGCTTTGCCTTCCTCTGCAACTTTACACATGGAAAAGGCTTGCCGGATCGCTTTGCTATGTGAAATCTGGGGAGCACATCTGAGGCTGCTACCCTTTCCATCCTGTGAAATCCACTGGTGATCAAAGCGGGTTCCTTCCAGCTCCTGCATGAGTTGAGGAGTTGCGGAAGTCTGTCCCTTTCACGTTTAGCTTGGCCAGCTGAGCCCGCCCGGCCTTCGCCAGCATGCTGCAAACCAAAGGCCCCTCCTCATCTGTTCCTTGCCTGGGCCATTGCGTTGATCATGCGCAAGTAAATTGCAAAAAAAGCTGTATCATGCTCAGCCTGTCAAGCTGATTGCTTGTCGTATATACGTTTAGACAACTGTTGGTGTCCAAAGGTGCTGATTGGCACGACGGCACTGACTGACTGCCCCGAGGTCTGAGGTTCGCACGTGAGAGCTTCGGAGACGCGTTCAATGGCTGCAGCATGGTCAGTGCCTTTGAAGAGGCTGGCATTAACAACAAAAGCCAACAGCACCACAGTTCATCTGCTGAATGCCTATCAGCTCGTGGCCCATGTCCTGCAGCTGCAGAGCCTTCAACACACAGAGGTTTTGCGAATGCTGCGGATCCAGCTTGATTTTCGTGTAACGGGCACGTGCTGACTGGGGGCCGTGCAAGCTTGTTGCAAAGTTTTGCCCGAATCTTGCTCCCGTCTGCGCAACAAAATATGCTGGTCGAACGCTACACTTCGAACCGATTCAAGGCGCGGCCTTTGCTTTTTAACTTTCGGTGAAACCTGAAGACGTAAAGAAGCTGGCAAAGCTTGCACCGACAACACCTGTTGGACTTGCTACAAGTACATACCTGGTTCAACCAAAGTAGTCCGGTAGTTGGGTTGGGGACCACCGCTGCGCGCGCTCATCGTCCTCAAAGGGCAGCTGTGGTGGGCGTAGATCGCCTTGAAGGCAGCACCATTCGCAATCGAAATGACAAGCATCCGAAGATTCACACCTGCAAACATTGAGAGCGCAACCATCAGAATCGTTGTAGAAGTCAAGCCTGGGAATGGGAATGCATGGGAATGCCAGGGGTGCCGAGACAAGGGCTGGTTGATTGACGGAACGCGGGCTGAGGCATTTGAAGCAACGGCAAACGTTCATTTTCCTTCGCTCGGATCAACCGCTCCAGCTCCAGCTCCTCTTTCCCCAGGAAATACGTCCTCATGTTACAATATGGACATGCTGCCGATGGGCGGGGCAGGGCAACAACAAATGCCCACCAAGATAAGGCAAGACACGCATAGCTTGCGCCATGGCGTCTTGCCTCGGATCCCATGAGAAAGCACTCCAAAGATTCCCCTCTACCCAAGTGATTTTTTGATGCAAGCTAAGCAACCATAAGCACCTGCCGCCGTGAGCGTCCTCAAATGGAAATGAAGGGCATGCAGGCAGCTTGGAAAGGTTTGCAAATTTCATTCGTCTGACGCTCAGACCATGGCCGAAGAAGCAACCTCTCGCAACACCATCTCTGTTCCAGGTTCGGCTTTCATCTGCCTGACAGCACACAGCTATCCCAGTTTCCTTATCGGCGAGATTCCATGCGTCAGAGGAGCCGGGGCTGTTGCATCCTGCTTGAAGCTTTGCCAAGGCTTGCAATGAAGGGCCCGCGGTCGGAATGCCACCACGTAGACCATAGAATTCCAGCGCATACTTCCTAAGTTGTGTTCCTACCTGGGCCCTACATGTTCTGTGGACAAACGCGAGCTGCATCGCACAGAAGGCGCAATTGCTAGCATGTCAAGAGTCCTTGCTTCCGCATGGCCGACAGCCAAAGGCGCATCCTCCCGGGTGCTTTTAGCTCAACAAGACACGAGCAGATTTCAGTCAGGGCCTGTGTTCCACCACCCAGCGCGGGCGCCAACTTCTACACCAATCCACCTGCATCAGTGTGAGCACTTGCCAGGGCAATGCCAGACCAGGTCCTGGCCTCAAAGCTTGGAAGCGCCACCCGAAAGCCCTCAGAAAAGCATGAGCATGCACATCCGGCGAAGCGCCACGGAGCCTCGAAAATGAAACTTGTCAACCGAGGCCTGGCGGCGGAAAAACGCAAACATCGCAACCTTAGCCATCAAGCAATGTTTATTGTTTGAAGGATCCTGAGTTGAGATGTTCCGGCCAGGTGCTGAATGTGTCTACTTTGGAACAAGCCCATGACCAGACCACTCAACCTAGCACTAGTCACTAGACCTCCCTTCCGCTATATAGAGCATGGGACGACAAGTGAAGCCTCACCATATTCCGCACTCACCGCCTCATTTCTCGTGCACAAGACAACTCTACAAGCGCTAAAGCAATTGCTTTGTTCTTGGGTTCGTTGACAGCCTTACCACGTGTATAGGCAGCTTTGGACTGGTGTTTAGGCCATGCAGAGGCAAACCAATTGCCCATGCCAGGCGGATTAATTATGGCACTTGTGATACCAGGCGTTGTGGCAGAACTCTCTCGCATTGTGTGCTGTAAGTTTCGCCTCCGCTTTGTTTGCCTCTCAAGTGATATCATTGCATGGTTGGAGATGCGGGCAGCATTTAAGCACTTACATTGTGTGCCTGCATTTCTTTCAGGCAATGCACGAACAGCGACCAACTAAGCTTGCAGCCGCTGCAGATCCAGGGCGGGGAAAAAGTCCCGCCGCGAAAGCCAGCCACACTGCATCTATGTTTCTGGCCAAGGCCGACCGCATACCCTTCAGCACATCCTGCCAGCAAGATCAGAGTGCTGCAGAAGCGCAAAAGAAATTCGTCAATCCCGGGAGGGTCCAGGAGGTCAGCGTAGGCGTATATCTTCAGAAGCCGCGCCGTTCCACGCTGCGGCTTCATCTGCAGCAGGCGGGCCACTGTTGTGATGCGAGCGCGCACTGATGGTGCTGTAGAATTCGGAGGGGCCACGGCCTAGGAAAGGTCTGCATCCGGTCTGTTTGGAAAGGCCAGGCCGCCGGTAAACTGAGCGCCTGGCTGAGGCACTAGCGTACGGATTTCCAGCGCCATGCGCTAAGAAGTGCATGGAGCCCCATCCGTCTCTGGCACCTGCCACTGCTTCCACAACCTTGCCAGGATTTCTTGGGTAACCTGCGCATCTCTGATTCAAATCAAGGCGAGCACCTGAATTTGGTCCCAGCTGTTAGTGGCGACACTGCGTCGAATTGCTCTTGCAACGGTGGACACTGGTTCCACTGCTGTGGCAGAAGCCAGCCGCCTCAACGCAGATTCAGAAGGAGAAGCGCAGGAGCCTTATAGATCCCGATCAGAGCCTACCCAGGTGCGCAGCCGCCCAGAAAGTGCAATCGCCGAGGTTGGCCTGCGGAGAGCAATGAAATTGTGAAATATACTTCCTTTTCATTGTTAATGTTATTTCTACTATATATCATTGCCAATTTATTGTGATTTGTCATTTTCGTATGATGGCACCGGCACCGAATCAACTGAGCAGCACAAACCGGAGTCGCAAGAACTGAAAGCTC